CTATGAACAAGAGTACGGACTAAGATATAATGGACTGGAAACGACAAGGTGGGCGGGTGACGGGGGACGGACCGCAAAAGGTGTCTCTGTTATCATCAACACTCATAATCGAATGTTTTCAGCGCTACCAGTGGTTTTATTTTGCGTCACATTTTGTATCTCAGTCCATGTTTTATACAGAGGGCGCTGTAAACTCTCGATTATGGTTGCGACCCCCCGCATTTGCTTCTTGTACATACTTTCGAGGCCACTGATAAGCTGCTCGTTTCCAGTCCATTATATCTTAGTCCGTGAACAAGACAAAGGATGTTATCTATTTTAATTTTTATATTTGAACATAACCTAACAAAATCGCCACTTGCGGGAGTGAGAAACTGCCTTCTCTCTCATACTTAAAAGACCGCGACCACTTGCGTTGTATGATTTAACATGGCCTATCCATTCTTCTATTATCTATGTTCACCATAGATATAAAATACGAATGTTATCATACTGTATCGATAAGAAAATAATGTAAACATTGACCACGGACTAAGATAAACAGGACTGGAAACAAGATAGTCATCTATGGAACTACAGTGTAACGCTTCTGGTACAAGTGCAATTTTAACGCCATCTATGATCCATTCTACGAAATATTAATACATCAGTGTCCAGCACGAATTAAGATTTTGGCATTTGAAATTGCTTCATTCCAAGCAGTTAAATTAACCACATCTTTTGGACTTTTAAATAAAGTGTATTTTTTTCCCTCTGAACATCCCGTACAGCCATCCACAGATAATATAGTTGGTAAAATGTAATGTACATTAAATACTAAATGCTAATACGTAAGAGCTAATAGGTGCGTATAAATCACGGACTAAGATCAGGGCCGGCGTTAGCTAATATTTGTGAGGGGTCGTGGTTAACGAAAGTGACGACTGAAATTCATGCATAATTATAAGACACTAAAAAAAAATTTTTGCGACACTCAAAATGTCAAGTTTTTGTTTCGACAATTCCATACTATGTTGGAGCAAAAACTTATTATAAAATCTTGATAAATGCATGTTTTTATACATATTTTTCAATATTCACTATTAATTATGATATTGTTCCAGAGTAAAAATTCGTCAAACCGTTTATAAATAAAACAATAAAACTAATAATGTTTTTGTATCATATGATAAAGAATAAACAAAATCCTAGAGACATTTTTCAATTATTTAAATCACTATTTACCAACAATATTGCCTTTTTAGTTTTTACTTAGAGTTTTTGATCGAAGCTGATTTTTTAGTATCTCTATCTATTTTGATTTTAAATGAGCATCATAAAACAATAACTATTTTTTATAACAAATAAGTATTATAATATATTACATTTTACAAAATATCATTTAACATTGTCAGAATGTGCATTCCAAATACAAAAATTATAAAAAAATTATATATATAATAATTATATATTACACCGAAATTCTTCTTTCTTTTAACGATGCCATATTTGTATCATATTTGTCATTTCAATATTATCTAAAATGTCTTTCTCAGAATCAAGTATAATCAAATCATTTAATCGGGAACTGGTCATAGTAGTTCTTAAATGGTTTTTGATTAATTTTAGCTTGCTGAAACATAGTTCATTTGAAGCTGTGGTAACTGGTGATGTTAATGCCAAACGACAAAGTTCATTAGCCATAGGAATTAATTGGTTTATTTTAATTTTTTTTTTTTTTTTGTATTTTTATATTTTATACATATTTTTGTTGTATTTGACAATGTGTTAATACTTAATGTGCCGACTGAAATATTAGGTTAAATGAGTGAGGGGTCGTGACGACCCCTTAAACCCCCCCTCGCTCCGGCCCTGACTAAGATAGAGTCACAATAGAGTTATCTTAGTTTATCTTATAAAAAAAAAATAGTCCGTGGTATAAATGTATTAAACTATTGTACCTAATTTTATTATAAACAGAAATAATATGCAAATAAATATATGTGTAACAAATGCTAAATATTATCAATAGATAGAGCCACATTTGTCCATGTACTACAAGCGTTACACTATGGTTCCGGCTACCCGCACTCCTCCCGTCTATCGTTTCCAGTCCTGTTTATCTTAGTCCGTGACATTGACCCACACGCATATGGTGGCTGACTTCAACATCGATTATCTTGATTCTTGATGTAGACAAGTTAGCTAGGTATCTAGATATCTGTGATATTCACTCATTTATTTTCCACATTTTGAACACCGTTAAGTATGCAACGTGTGTCGTGTGACTCACACGATAATCATTCTGTATTTTATAATGTTTCACATAAATACACATTTTAGTATTTTGCATTATTATAAATATATTATAATGGAGTTACTTGTAACCAGTATCATAAAAAAAATATGGGTACTTACGCTTGATATGTCGAAATAGCTCTTAATTTAGTAACAATATGCATCTCCAAAATTCAAAATATTTTTTTATGATTTTTATCCTATCAATGTACAAAGAACACCTCGTTCTGGTTATGATGTTGCTCATGGTTTTGGATCACAACATTTTCCCCCTTTGTATTCAATTATTATCAACTGTATTTTTTTCTGTAGTCAATTATGTATTATTAATTATATTATGTTTTATTTTATTTTGTACATTGGAATTAATATTATTTATTATTATTATAAATAAAATATTATATACATTATTACAGTTTTAGAGCTTTGACACATTATCTGATTAATGGCTGTAGAATAAATTAGGATAGTCATGATGATAATTTATAACTGTAATAGGCACTTGTATATTTATAGTTTATAGTGTTTATACTAATTATAATATTACTAGATTGGGTGGGAACTTGGGTTAGTTTTTAAGTATGATTAGATTAGACATGAAATTATAGTCTTATCGTTGCTACTCGTTATTTATTAATGTGGAAAAATAATAAATTATAATATCGTATATTTTTGTACACATCTATGTGGCTTTGCATCAATAATAATAAATTCACCTATCCATAACTTTTGAATGCCTACTGAAACTATACATAATAATATGTCAATTATTAACATTAATATGTATACCGTGTGTTCAATTTTAAAGGTAACGGGAAATATTTCGATCGTGTGACATTGAATTTGAATCGGGGTTTTTATACTGCATTTAGGACTTATAAATACATATTTTTTTAATGAATTCAAATTTTTAATTTTTTTTATCAGCGCATGCGCAGTAAAATAAAAATTTCTTTAATAGCAACCACTATTTTAGAGACCGGATTTCGATTTCTTTATTTTTTCTGAACAACTTTGATCTTTACAGTTTGTTGATATCTTCAAAATTGCCATGTTTATGACGGTCGGAAGTTTTAAAATAGTTAATTTGTAAATATTGCATTTTTCAACGGTCTATCTTAATTTATAGGTATTTATAGGTATTATTATAACAATTTATTTTTATTAAAACTACTAAATTATCTACTACTATTATCTTAATTTGTTTTTAATAGTATTATAATGAAAGTTATACTATTAACCTGTGTGAATAAGATATTTTGATAGCATTCTAAAATTGATTGTGAATAGTCAAACGTTTTTCGTAAGTCGCGCGTGACACATTATTTTCTGTACAATGGCAAACTATTCCGAAAAAACCAATATGGTATTAATTTTTGGAGAATGTCATCAAAATTCGCGTAACGCAGCGGCACTTTATGCTGAACGATATCCCGAGAGATATCATCCACCACACAATTATTTACGAATTAACTATTTTAAAACTTCCGACCGTCATAAACATGGCAATTTTGAAGATATCAACAAACTGTAAAGATCAAAGTTGTTCAGAAAAAATAAAGAAATCGAAATCTGGTCTCCAAAATAGTGGTTGCTATTTAAGAAATTTTTATTTTACTGCGCATGCGCTGATAAAAAAAATAATAAAAATTTGAATTTATTAAAAAAATATGTATTTATGAGTCCTATATGCAGTATAAAAACCCCGAATCAAATTCAAGGCCAAACGATCGAAATATTTCCTGTTACCTTTAAAATTGAACACACGGTATACATATTAATGTTAATAATTAACATATTATTATGTATAGTTTCAGTAGGTATTCAAAAGTTATGGATAGGTGAATTTATTATTATTGATGCAAAGCCACATAGATGTGTACAAAAATATACGATATTATAATTTATTATTTTTCCACATTAATAAATAACGAGTAGCGACGATAAGGCTATAGAATTTCATGTCTAATCTAATGTATAATATGTATATTATTATTAACATATTATTTGTTACAAGCCATTTTTCAGACTGAAATTAAACAGGATTTGAATAATTGCGAAATTAATTAATTGTACGATTATAGTATAATTATTATTTATGTTGAAAAGGTTTTGAAATTTCGTTTACACTTAGGTACCTATATACATTTCAAAATAAAATATAGCATTGTGGCTTGGCTTCGCGCGATGGCTGCTGCCAGTCACGTAATGTGACTAAGAGTAAATAAAGTCCGCTGCTACTAGTTCCTGGATGGGTGACCACTAGGGTTGCCAACCGGCCGGTATTTTCCCGGCCCGGCCGGTATTTCACATATTTAGACTTAAAAAGCCGGTTGCCGGTATTGACCTATAAAAAGCCGGTATTTTCAAAGTAATAATATTGTAAAATTATAAAAACCCAGTAATTCCACCTGATCGAGAGTTTTGATATTATATATTAATATTTTATCATTTTTATGAAATTGATTATCACATGTTACTGTCAATAAATCGTATACCTATCTTAATGACTTCAGATATCTATCGTCCTTTTTGACATTTTTATGAGTACTATGATTAGTATGTACCTTGTTAGTTGTTCCTATTATGCCGTTCTCGTTGGTGAATATGTGATAGACGATTCATAATAGAGTTTAGTTTCGTTATTCTGTTCGGACTGTTCGGTAGTACCTATTAATTTTACATTGTATATACTTGATTGAAAAATTATACGCATTTTTAAAATGAACGAAAATGAAACGAAAAAAAGAATTCGTAATTGTGTTTTTAACGATGAATGGTTAAAAGATCAAATATTTTCTGATTGGATCGCTAAACACAATAACCCTAATAAAGCACGATGTATATTATGTCAGACAGTTTTTAGTGTTAAGTATGATGGCGTTAAAGCTGTAAAAACACATCAAGAATCAAAAAAACATGAAGGTTACATTTGGTTTGTTCATCATGTGTTGTCCATTTTTCAAAAACATATTTTAATATTAGAAAAAAATAATTTAAACGCTCCAGAAGTCTATGATGTAATGTTAAGTTTAAGATCTCAAATTTTAAATCGTAAAAATGATAATTTCTTTGGAATTGCAGTAACTACACGATTACCTAATCTTACTAGCAAAGAAAACGATGCATTTAAATCTGATGCTCTACATACTTACAAACGTGCATTAGAATACCTCGAAAAATGGTTTGATTATGAAAACTCTCCATTCAAAATGTTTTCGTGTTTGAAATTAAGTGAATTACCTAAATTAACAGATTTACTCGATCTGGCCAAATTAATTAAGGTTCATGTCAATGGAGATGAACTGTATGAAGAGCTTAATTTGATAAAGTTATTACCAAATGATATCCTAAATAACACAGAATTCACTAGTTCGGAAAAATGGGTAAAATTTTTCCAATCATCTACTGCACAATTAAAAAATATTAAACAAATTGTACAGTATGTATTCTCGGTGCCGTGTAGCAATGCATTTGTTGAACGCGTTTTTAGCCACATGAATAGTTTGTGGACAGATGAGCGCAATCGATTAGGAATTGATACAGTTAAAGCCGAACTAGTCATAAGAAATAACATAACATACAATTGTTCAGAGTTTTTTGATCAAATACAAAATGAAAAACATTTATTAAACGCCGTGAAAAATGCCGCTAAATATAAATTTAAAAGTTTACAATAGTTTATTTATAATAGTTATTATAATAATTTATAAGTTTATAATATTAAAGTTTAACATAATGTAATACTAATATTATTAATTTTTTTATTTTAACGTATGTAATTAATTATATTATTCGTCATTTTATTATATTAATATTAAAAAATGATGACCTTTTTTTTTTTTTTTTTGTACACTTGGGCCGGTATTTTTTAATTCCAAAGTTGGCAACCCTAGTGACCACCCGGGTTCGTAGCAGCAAAAACCTTGCCAAAAGTGTTGTCTACCAACCATGATAGTCCATAACCCCTAAAATATCTAATGGCCCTAGTTCCTGGGCTCAAGTTAGTAGAAAAAAAAAAAATAAATATATAACGTCACCAATATAATTATTTTTTTATTTTTAGTACTTATAACGTTACAGGGTTATTTAGTACAAAATATATAAATAATACAATTGTGCATATAAAGTCAACGACGCATATTGACGTTTAGTTTTTTTATTCTATTTATTTAGGGCCAAAGTGGTTACCATTTGTGGGAAATACGTACCAATTATCTAAATTGGCCGCTACCAAAAATGGTCAATATTTGGCATTTGAGGAGCTCCGTCAAAGATACAAGTCTGACATCATTGGGTTGAAATTAGGACGTGAATACATCGTTACTGTGTTCGGAAACGATCTAGTGAATGAAACGTTACATAGAGATGAATTTCAGGGTCGGCCTGATAATTTTTTTATGAGACTCCGGACATTGGGCAAACGTAGAGGTAAATATAACATAACACGTTGTACTGATATAAAATATTTTTACACTCCATTAAAATAATGTATAAGCGCAATCCTACATAATAAAAAGCTTTTTAAATAATGTCGCTATGTGTAATATAGGTATAGTGAAATACTGAAATACGAATAGAAATACTAGGTAGTAAATACTAAACAGTAAATAGATTATAATATCGGATGTAGAAATCGTTGCATTTTCAATGTTTCAAATAAATAGTACAATATATAATAAATTAGTTTAGAACATAATATTATATTATTAAAATTATTATGAATTATAAATAATATTTATAAGTAATCATTAAATATATTTATACCTAGTGGGGATTAAGTAATTTTTATAGTTGATTCATTTAATTTATTCTGCGTTTATACAGTATATGTAATTGTATACACTATAGTTAAGAGTATTGACTGAAAAAAAAATAATCACTAAAATATTGTTAGTGATTCTCTGTCGTTAATCGTTATTATAGTAATTAATTATTATTTATTATATATTATATTGAGTACGAACTACAAATATTCAGTGTTCGGAACGTTCACTAAAAAAATTAATTCGTTCACGTTCACGTTCTTTGAAAATATGAATGCGTTCATTTCGTGGTTCAATTAATTAATTTTATTTTATTTTTATGTATCATTTGAATACGAATACAAAATCGTGGAAATAAAAATATTATTGTTGTTTTATGTCCAGACGTGCCCACCGTAATTTCATGTATTTTATTTTTATAATTCGTACCTAATATATTATATACCATAACAGTATTATCAATTAATATTTATTAAATAATAAATACATTTGAACGTCTTAAAAATCGTTCAAATTCATTAAATATATAAACGTCGTTCACGTTCTATTTGAAAAAAAACGAGTGACATTCACTTATCGTTCATTAAATATGAACGTGAATGGGTGAATGACGTTCTTTCCAAACACTGCAAATACCTATTTGAATTTAAAAATACAAAGTTATGTCTGATTGACCATATTTTTAGTTATATGAAGTATAGTAAAAAATTGTAAATTAAATGAAAAATTTTAATTTATTTTTGATTCTGTGCGGAATAATGTGTTCTTCTTTTTATTTATGTCAGTCATCACCTTGAAATGCTTCAATTTTCTTAAATAGTATCTTTTCTAGTTTAAATTTGAATCTAGTTATGTACGTTGGGAGGAGGGTGGGCTGTGAAAGTAATCAGTTAGGAAAAACAAGCAACAAATTAAGAAAAAAATTGAGATTTTTTAGCAAAACTAATTTTTACAAAAAAGATAACGTTAGATGCATCACTTTTCCACAGATATATTAGAAATTTTCATGCAACATAACATTTTCTAAATATTGTGATTCTTTTTGAACTATTTATAAACTATAGACTTAAGAAAATAACAAGTTTTATAAGTTTTAATAATTATTATCGATCAAAAATTTTTTGTTCGATCAAAAAACTTGAAAATGTAATATATCGGTCCTCATCACGAATTTTCGTTAGTGGAAATTATAAAAAATATTGAGCGAAAATTCGCAATAATTTTTTATGAGCGTCTGAAGTTAAAATGATGACAAAATTTTTCAAAATCACGAAAATTGGTAAATTATTTCTAGTTGGAAATTCATGAAAATTGTTCTATGTATATCTAAGATCTTAAGTTTTCCTACATTTTTAAAAAAAATAAAGTTTCCTGGAAAGTCAAATAAGTTTTTTAAGAGTTTGAAGTTGGACATTGGATTCACCCATACATTAACAAATTCTCATACGATTTTCATATTTTGTCGTTATCCAATAACCATTAACCGTTAATCAAATGATTATTTTATCATTTTCTATAGATGATAACATTTGCAAAATATTTTGACTCATTTTGAGTTATTTATAGACTTTTAAAATACCAAGTTCTTATTTTTTTATTCTATAAATTTTAATAAATTTGTATTTGTTGTGTTAAAAAGCTTGAAAATTTATTAAGGCTCCTTATAAAATGTTAAAATTGAGTTGATAAATATTAAAGATTTTTTTTATAAGTATTTTAAGTTCAAATATTGACTAAATATTATCACAATTTCGAAAAATTTCAAATTTATAGTATTCAAAAATTAAAAAATGTTTACATTTCATAGCTAAAAGGATTGACAATTTAAAACAAGGATTCTCAGAAAAAGTTCATATTGCATAAATAAAAAATATAAAACCCAGTTATTTTTTCAGACATTTTAAGTTCAAATTTGGACGAAATTACATTTTAAAACCGAGAATAACGATTTTAATTATTTTGTAGTAATTAAAAAAATGTATTCTTAGGGAATATGACACTTTTAGAGTACATTTTATACACACAATAACATTTTTAAATGTATTTTTTTTTTGCAAAAATGAATTTGACCTACTGTTGTACTAATGCCTAATAGTAAAATATATTACTTTAATCACAATTTAAAAATACTTTCTAATACTATGGGCTCAGAATCCCTCAGGGTGTTCACTCAGAATCGTTTTTGTATATAATGATTTTATATCATAGAATTCAAATTTAACCCAATTCATTACAGTGACCCACTTGTAACCAGCTACTGTACAGCAGAGCGACACCCACTTGCCCGCTTTTTTTCTTGTATTTGTAGGTGGGTAGTATAAAAAAAATAAATTATTGGTTACTTAATTGTGTATCAAGGTTGGTAAGTGGGTAGTTAAATTCAAAATTTGATACACCTTGATTTTGTTTGATAGCCGCCACTGGGCCCTCCCTGGTTGGCAATCCGACTACGTCAGATCGTGGACAATGTAGGACAGCATATCAAGTAGGTACGCAGTGTGCGAAAATTTGAATTGATCTGCCCAATATTAACCAATGGCAACCAATAAAATAACAAATACTATTATCTACTAATTATTTCTCCTGTAACCAATAGCAACAATTTATAAACAACAATTTCCACCTTAAATCTCAAAATCCCCGTTTAAGTACCTCCCCGGGTTGGTCCTACCGGTTCCAATTGTGAATCAAAAACATCCCGGGAACCACTCGAACACACACAAAAAATGTCATCAAAATCTGTCCAGCCGTTCGGGAATGCATAAAAGACACACAGACAGACAGACAAACATTCATTTTTATATATAAAGATAAATAAATAAATAAAAAATAAATAGTTAAATAGGCAAAATAAAGTTTAAATCTTGATGTTTTGAAATTCTTTTTTATCTGTATATTATGATCAATTCGAATTTTACAAAAAAAATTAAGAATTCCCATAGGAGTGTCCCTTAATCCTAATATGTAATTAATTATAGACATGGTATGTATTAAAATAGGTATAACGATGACTGATGGAGATCTCTGGAAAGTACACAGATCATTTGCTGTCAGACACTTGAAGTTACTTGGCTTAGGACAGAGAAGGGTGGACGAATTGATTCGTGATGAATATCAACTCATGGTAGAACGTCTATCGGTAGCGATGAAGAGTGTAACGCCGACCTTATACTTGCAATCAGCTGTAATGAATGTTTTGTGGGAGCTGACAGCCGGCACTAAGTTCGAAGACCCTGAGTTGCTAACGTTGATGGGGAAACGGAGTTCAGCATTCAATATGGTCGGTGGGCTGCTCAACCAGATACCATGGCTACGGTATTTGGCACCCACCAAGACGGGTTTCTCACTCATAACTGATATCAATCAGCAAATTTACTCATTGATATCTGTAAGATCACATTAAAATGATTATATTCTGTTATCTTATTATAGGAGCAAATAGTGTTTGACATTTTGACATTGGAGAGGAAGGGGGGCTGAAGCTTAGGTCTATACTGGATATTCCAATGTATTATATAGGTAGGGAAGTCAATAGTTTTTTTTTTTTTTTTGGTAGGGGGTAAGCCACGTTTATTTGCGCCTATGCACATTATATTTTATAGTCTGTCTCACGAAAGAACGGGACTGTTTTGCGCATGTAGACTGATTCGATTGGTGCGTGGACAACCACGTGATCACGTTTACAATATTATAATCTATTAACATAATTTTTAATAGACAGATATAATATATCGTACGTTGATTGATAATCTTATAACAGTAGGTATCAGAAATTTTAACGAAAACACAGCATCAATAAATGCCTAGATAGTTACTAGTTGCACACTTTCCCTCAGAAACTTAATAATTTACTATAGTATATTAGTTGTATTTACCTGCAGTAGGTATGCTGATGCCAGTATACTTAGTATACTAATACGAATCTAATCATAATATTATCATAAACTTTATTTTTTGTTTTTCATTCCTTCGAACGTATGTGTTCATTTTATAAACACTTCATAAACAAATTATATGAAATAAAAATGTTTTCTTAACTTCTAACACCAAGCATTAAATAAAGACCCAAAGAAAAATTATGCTCACTAAAATTTTACACCCGGGGATCAATCCCCGGCTCCCCCGCCCTAGTTCCGCCACTGGGTATACCTATTATTATAATATTATATAACTACCTATAGTTAACTATATTAGCTGTTGTATCGTACATTTGTACAACAGTGGTTGAAGACTATTGTATAGGTAATCATTTTATTTTCCAATTCTCAGTTCTCAGTTTACTGTGCGTCTGTGGCACTCTCTATGCAGACTGCAAAGTAGGTATGTACTATTACAGTTTGTCACAGCCGTTATTTTTATTTATAAGTACAAATACTGTATACGTAAATATATTAGATTTTATTGTATACAATTATCAAAATGTTTAGTATATTCAAATTAAAATATCAAGTAGTGCTAAGACAAAGATGACCCAAAAAAAATTATTGCTTATATTAAATTTTGGTTTTAGAGGACTTTTTGTAACAACTAAATTTTAGTGAATCTTATAAGGGGGTGTTTGGGACTTTGCCCCCCACGTGTTATTTTACACTTTTTTTTGTAGGACTCTAGCCTCTGTAACTATTCAATCCTAGTTACTCCCATGTAGATGTGTACCTAATAACAATTGTAATTTGGACATATTCAATAATAGTTACTTAATAATCTATTTGTGATTCATAAACTTTAAACACTGTCCTCCTTCGTCAGAATTAAATTCACTAAAATAATGTCGATGGAATTAAATATTTATTGATGATAATTTTTTTTATATTAACCTATATAATATACATAGAATCGTATAATATATATATATATATGTATATTTCATATAGAATATTATTGTGGAACACAAGAAAACGATAACTGATACTACCAGAGATTTTATTGATGCATATTTACATCAAATGAAAAAAGAAGAAATATATAATACAATGTTTACTGGTTAGTAGTTTAATACATTTTATTTTATTATTTATGGATATTCTAATATATTTTTGAAAATGAACAAATTTATTTCAGAAGAACAATTGATAGCTGTTTGTTTGGATTTATTTATTGCTGGATCATCAACAACTAGTAGTACATTGGATTTTGCTATATTGGCTATGGCTCGGTGGCCAGATGTTCAGGCTAAAGTTCAATCTACTCTGGATGAGATTCAACCTCCGGGGACGTATATTACAGCTGAACAAATTCTTAAGTAAAATAAGCTTACGACAATTATTGTTTTCATAATAAATCTATTTTGTTTTTTACATAGAAATCGATACGTGGAAGCGGTGCTTTTAGAGACGAAAAGGCTTAATCACGTAACACCAATCATAGGTCCTAGACGTGTGCTAAGAAATACTAATCTTAATGGATATAATATACCTAAGGTATAATGACTTCAGTGCTATATTGTATAATTATAATTGGTTAAATATTACATTAGTGAACAATTTTTCAACAGTTGTATCCCTTCTTGACACATTTAATTTGCATGCGTAACTATTTTTTTCATACAATGTTAAATTTGTATTCGTATTTTGATTTTTACACTTCGTGTCTTCGTAAATAACAATTTTAAATAATATTGTTACGTTTTAATATTTATTTTTAGAACACAACCATTTTGATGAGTTTGTATTCAGTACACCAGGATCAGTTGAAATGGGGTGATCCAGAAGTGTTTCGCCCAGAGAGGTTTATGGACACTAACGGAAAAATCAATAAGACTGAAGAAATGTACTTTTTTGGATTTGGTAAACGGTTTAATTTATTTACATTATGTTGTAATGTTTACTAATAATATCATTGTTTATTTATTTGTAGGAAAAAGACGATGTCCTGGTGAAGCGTTGGCACAGCGGTTTGTTAACTTAGCATTCGCAAACCTAATACATGATTTTATAATCGAAATTGATCAATTACCCGAAGGAGTAAATTGTGGTATACTTTTAACACCAAAACCTTATAAAATAAAAATGACTAAAAGGAAATAAATATCTTATGTGTACTTTGTTTCTAATATTATTTCCTAATTTCCATGGGTCATGATCATGATAATTATACAACTTCTGACTTTCGGTACTAAGGGACGATACATGGCAGATTTTTTAAATAAAAACATGACAAATGAGATGTATTATGTTTATTGCAGATACGTTTTATATTCCACGATACGGAATAATTTTATTTTAAATGTGAAGTATTTCAAACATTTCAGACAGGTAATCGATTTTCTAAAACGTTAATTTTTTTCTTGTACAAAAATAGTTTGGACATATTTAAAACAATATTTAAGATTCTGAGATAAGGACAGAATGTTTTGATGTTTCAAATCGTTTTTTTAGTTGTGCATTCATCACTTTTAGTAATAAGTAAGTAGTAGATTGTAAGGAAAACCAGTTTTCAAAAAAATCTATTTTGTGTTTTTGTATACTTAATTTAAAAATGTATTATTTTAGAGACTTGAGATAATGAGATGTTCACCAAATATTTATAATAGCATTTTCTATACATAATATAATTAAAAAAAATACTTTGCGTAAGAAATTCTTATCACTTATCATAAAACAATAATGATATTCAAGTGAAGCCATGAAAAAAAAACTAATATTAAAGAGTAATATAAAAATAATATAATAAAATATCCTTAGAAATAGAGGCTGGCAGACGGTCTCCGTTCCATTAATTTTATTATTAAATTCAAATTTAAAACATCCATTACAGATGTCTACAGAAAGTCGAGATACACTCAACATTTATACAGCTCTGTATACTCATTGATGATTTTTTATTAACTTTCAATAATTATTGACTATTTTGATTTTTGATCAATAAAATCGGGGTAGTCGAATTGCACTTATTATCTAAAAAGGTAATGGTAGAACTGCATTCGTTCAAAAAAAGGAGTTAAAATTTAAGGTCACTATGGACGTTCACGTTTAAAATTATAATAATATTTGACGATTTAAAAAAAGAATCAATATATATATATATTATTATTATGTACTACAGAAATTATTAAAATTAGTTAAAAAAAAAATTTATAATAATGGCAATAATAATATTTGATGATTTAATATATGTATATAAATTAACATAATGGACAATGGTATAAAACAATCATTTTTAACTACTCCAATGATTTAAATCATTTTTATTCCTAAGCCTGTAAATGGGAAGTTAAATTAGTGTTTTATAAACGGTTAACCCCTTCAAATACATGATATTTTTGTTGGATTACATTTTTTGAGCCCAAGTGTAGTTCGACCACTACCTACTTTTTACTCTATTACAGTTCGACCATTTCCTCCATAAATCTAAATGCAGTTCGATTAAAATAAGTGCAATTCGACCATACCCAATAAAATAACGATTGTCATCCGTTACAGGGATTTGGGATTGCTTAATCACATCACCTGTGACGTTTGTTCTAGTACCAGTTTGCCAGTTTCCTTATTTTAGTTTGATTTTGCGGAAAACGGACCGGTTAATGTTGTTATATTAATTGCCTATCTATAACGCCGTGTAATTAAAACGAAATCTTAAATTACTACTTTGGTTATTTATTATTTATTATAAATCATACTCCGATATACAACAATAAAAACGACTCAACGTTTAAATATTTAAAATATAAGCTTATAACAAATAATAACCCAAAATTAGAAATATTGTGTGTTATTTTTTATGCATCATCGGCCTGGAGGTATACAGGGTGATTCTTTTATCATTGAATACTCATTATTTAAAGAAGTGTAAATGTTTTTGAATATATTTTTATTTTACATAGTTTCAAGTCACTTACAAAACAACGTTTTTCTTAAAAAATTATATTTAAAAATATATTTTATCTTTATAATTTTTTATGTTTTTACTTTTTTGAATAATAACATAGAGTTTTAATTCCAAAGCAGAATATTTTTCTGAATATTTCAAAACATAAAAATCGGTAATTTAGGGTGAGCACTTTATGAGTTATAAGTATTTAAAGTTTTGACAAAATTTATCAAATTTAAAGAATAAAAATGATTTTTAAGTTAAAAATTTTCAACTTTATAGGTAAGGATTGAAAACTTACAACAAAGTTCCACGTAAGTATGTTATTCTGTAATCAAAAAACTCAAAAATTTAAAACCATAGTTATTTTGTTATAGTTATTTCATGTTCAAATTTGGAGGAAAATACATATTAAATAACCAAGAATAACGATTTTAATTATTTTGTTGTAATTTTAAATAATATTAATTGAACTTACCGGCTACTGTATTAATAATAAGTAATAGCAATATAAATATAATATAAAATATCCACACTGACAAACCGTCACAGCTCAGATTCGTTTTTCGTATACAAAGATATTTAATCATTGAACTCAAATTTAATACCATCCATTATACAGCGGCCCACTTGCAACCTACTGTACAGCAGAGCAACATCCACTTACCAATCTTTTTGGGATCCGTACGGTAAAACGGGACCCTATTACTAAGGCCCGCTGTCCGTCCGTCCGTCCGTCCATCCTGTCACCAGGCTGTATCTCATGAACCGTGAAAGTTAGACAGTTGAAATTTTCACAGAAGATGTATTTCTGTTGCTACTATAACAACAAATACTAAAAATCCGTCAGAATATATCATAGATAATGTACGGAACCCTTCGTGCGCGACTGCGCGAGTTTGAGTAGCAAATGGCCGGTTATTTTTCTTTATTTTTTTTTTTTTTTTTTGTGTCTGTCATTTCTGTATAAGACAGTGACACTTCTTCGATTTTCTTCAACAGGATCTTGTTTGATGGGAAAGTGAATCTAGTTGGTGCATTCGGGAGGTGAAAATTTAAAATTCCCAATGGTTTTCAAAAGCGATGGGAAAAAACAACCTTAAAATTAAGGGAAAATATTCATTTTTACTCAAAGTTCCACATAAATAGGTTACATAAATATTACTTTATTCACAATAATATCATCAAATATACTCAGTACTATCATAGGCTGACTGTCCGTCTTCACTCAGAATTATTATCTTTAAATGATATCATTGAATTCAAATTCAACACAATCCATTACAGTTACCCACCACTATATAGCAGAGTGACACCCACTTTTTACGACCGTATACTTTTATATATTATATTATAATTGTATAATTTTGTATTATATTACATCGTACAATCATAAATAATAAAGACAAAAATGTATGCGTACTATGTAGCTTACAACACCCATTTATATAAACTTCATCATATTGGTATCAATTTAATATTTATTATAAAATTATCATTTTGAACAAAACGAATTGGAGGAGGGATTCGAATGCATTAATAATTTATTAAATTACCTTACTTTATTATTATCAGTTTTGTCGTAATAGTGATAAGTGATCAGTTTATGATCACGAGCTGTTTATGGTGGTCGGTGGCAGTTTATTTCTATAATGAACATTACACAGAGTAATAGAAGTCACCAAAACAATAACAGGTAATAATTCTACAACTTTGTTATGTATATTATGTACCTATTAATAAAACAATATTGATTATAATTTAGTGTCATGAGTGTATTATTTTAAAATTAAATAATACTTCCTTATTTTATTGTACGAAAAAATAAAAATAAAAAAATTACATAGGTGTTTAAAATGTTCTCATATATATTACTCGAACGATCCTTTCACTATTATACATTTTTTTTCTATACCTAATACCTATTCAAACATTTATATAACAAAATATAATGCATTGTTTAAAAGAAAAAAAAAATATTTTAAACTTTAATTTCTTTGTTTGCTTATCAAATTATTTTTACCTTGAAATCAATCGTGAGGTAGCTCTTGATTATAGCCTATAAGTTTACGATTATCTAATAATTTTTTTTAAAAATTGGTATTTGGTAATGAGCTTACCAGTATACCGTGACATGAATATTTAGTATTTTAATTTATTAATTGGTTATAAATATACTAAGTGAAGTGAACACTGGACAGTAATATACATTTTTAAGGCAGGTACTTGATAAACTTTTTAATAACAATATCTTAGGTATGCATCATGCATGTAAACAAAATATTTGGTAGGTAATAAATTGAAATTATTACGTTTATATAAAATAATACGGATAAAAAGTTATTTATAACGGGCACAGACATTGCGATAACCCATGAACCTACTTATATGTTAATTCATCATTATTTTTTCTAATTAATGCTTGTTTTTTACTTTTTGTTTGATACTTATGAAGGTATCTAGCAATTGATCTAGTTAATAGATAAATTTATTGAAACAACTAATTTTGTACGCATTATGTTATGAAATGTTATATGTTATGTTATATTTGGTAGGACTACTTCAATTTCTAAATTCGTCAAATTGCGCATCCGTGTCTATTGTAATTTAATTATCGAGTGAATGAAAGTTATGGACTGAAATTGTATATTGTAGCAATATTATATTATTATGTTTGTATAATATAATAATAATATAATACACTTGAATATAACTAATTTTAATATGCTTGAATATTACTATAGGATAAATAAATAAATACATTATAAAATCATTTTATTAGGTTTATTTAAAAATGATATATTTCATAAAATTACCAATTAAAGGGTCTATCTGACCAAATCAGATAACTGAAATAAATAAATAAAAATATTTATTATTAAAAATCAATGTAATAATCAATGGTACCTAATCAGTTTGAACTATTACTTTGAGGTTTGAACTACCTACACTTCTGCTTTATATTTTTGTGTTTAGGTACAAGGCTTAATCTTCTTAATTAAACATGGACAGAGTTAAATTTATTATTTGTATGGTATTCGTCTTCAGTCTGGGGAATTGCGAAGACAAGACTGTGAAGGCTCAAAACTTACAAGAAAATAGAAGTGGGTTTTTTTTATACAAAATATATTTGTTTATTAATGTATACATAAATGTTTATATGCATGTGTGGTTGTAGTTAAACTATTCATAAACTCAATATAATTCATTACTGATTAATACACAGATCCGATGTACTTTGTTCTAGTTTGGACTCCAATAGAAATTGATTATTTTTTATATAAATTTAAATTTCAAATTTTGATAAAATTGATCAACATTTCGAAAATGTTCAAACTATTTTTCAGTTAGAAATTCATAAAATTTTTCTTTTCATAGATAACATTAGACATTTTAATAGAAGATTCCTTATAAAATAACACTTGTGTAAAATACCGTACCCACTATAGTCCACTTTTTTATGTCTGACGTCCTAAAAGTACTGTCTAACTAGATTCACTTTCCCTAACCTAGCAGTTACAATTGTACGATATCGTCAGTTCGATAATAATAATAACAAGTATTGGAAACTCGTTGAATTTAAGTAATTTGAAAATTACTTAATTATTATTAAAAAAACAAATTTTAAATAATTGTTTAAATTTTTAGAATGTTTCACGCCAAATGGTGACAACGGAAATTGCATTAACATAAAAAGATGCCCAACGCTGCTTCATCTATTAGAACATCAGGGACACAATTCTTCTATTGCCACTTTTCTCATAAAATCTAAGTGTGGAGATGAGGATAATTTCCCTTATTACCCCAAGGTATGCTGTTTGGATGATGTAATTTTCAAATTGCCATCTCAAGATACTTGTGGACGGAATAATGTTAGTCGCAATCTAATTGTCGGAGGAAGGTTAGCTGAATTAGGTATACGTTAAACGTTTGAAAACAAATTAAATTTTTTTTTTTTTTTTTATTTCTATTCTTAAATTTCACAAAATATACACATAAAAAATGTTATTAAATTTAATGAATTATAATTAAAAATCTTGACTTTTCAATGTATTTAGGTGATTGGCCCTGGATAGCAGCACTTGGGTATCAAGTTCTTAGTGAGCCAATGTCGGAATACAAGTGGTTGTGTGGTGGTTCCTTGATATCAGATAGATACGTATTAACAGCTGCTCACTGCACCATTGGTTCTGGAATGTACCGTTTGTAAGTTAATATGGCAACGTGTTGACTATGTGCATTCTATAAATGTTATAGTTGCTCTATTGAATTCCTTGAACTATTTGGAATTTATTAAATTTGAATGTTATTCTATTATGCATAGGCAATCTATACAATTTCTAGTGTTTCAATAGAACACTAGGAATATATGTTAGGTAAAGTGTTATATCAAAATATTTTTATTATTATTTATTGCTTTATATAACTGATGTATGACATTTCGAACTGCATAAAATGTTATTTTATACCCACGAACATTTTTTGAATTAATATTTTGTCCCACATGTGAATTTTATAAAACCTTGTTCAGTTCCTGTAGATTGTTGCGCTACAACTTGTAGTTTTACTTTTTTAAATGACGGCATACATTTTTAAATTTTTGAGCAACTTACGGGCAGGTAGAAAAAAAACACTGTATTACTAAACATGGTAACAAAAAATGAATAATATATTTAATATATATAAATTATAGACAGTAGGTTGGTTCTATAATATTATTATACCACATAACTAATGTTAGTTGTACCTATCCTTGGTTTTATAATATACTATTGTCAAACGAATTTATTCAAACTAATTAAACATCATTATTTATTTTTAATATAAACAATCTATTAATTTATATAAAACCAATTTTTGATAATCATTAATATCAAATTATTTGGTTTTTCAGGTCTGTTGTGCGTTTAGGTGATTTGAACTTAGATCCTAATGTGGTTGATGGAGCTGAACCAATAGATGTTGCAATTTCTCGTGTCATAATACATACCAGATATAACTCACGTACAAATACCAATGATATTGCATTATTAAAATTAGGCAACAGTGTTGGATTCAATCGTAAGCATTTTTAATATTTATTTATTATGGTATATATATTATTTAATATAATTCATTTTTTAACACTATATGTACCATATATAGCTATATAGGTCTCTGGGGGTGTCAAGACACCTATTAATTACGCATTATTATAAAAATAAGAAATGTTATGTTAGAATATTATAACTAAACATTTAAAATATGACTGTACTAAGTCATAAAAACCAAATTTTACAGGAGAAGGAAAAAACTGTTTTTATGACCACAATGACTTACGACCATTGCCATCTTGTGTTCAACGTAATTACTAAAATTTAAAGAAATTTAAGTTCTTTTCCCTGGCCATTGGCATTATGTATTTACTACTTTTCAACGAAAAAACGAAAAATTGATTTTTTTTTTGACTTAGTTCCTTTTCCATGTCTACGCCTCGATTACTTTAGTTTTTTTTTTATATTTAGTTAAATCTTTATGAACAAAAATAATGTCTATACTGGAAAGTTAAATTAAATTTTTAAATGCTTTAAACTTTTTTACAGCAATCGAGTAAATATATTGGATATTTACTCGATTTCTCATTTAGAGATTTTCTTATTTTGTTGTAATTCGAAAAAGAATAACTATACATTTATAGATTAAATTTACACCATATGTTTGCTATATCAATTCTTATACTTGTAACATTTTCGAAATATTTTGATTTGTTTTTAAGCTATTTACGGACATTTTAAGTTTCTAACTTTAGATTCTGAGCGGAGAGAAAAATGTATTGATTTTATAATGTGTTTTATTTTTTCAATTTTTTTTTTTTGTATCTGTAATCACGGTATGGAGCAGTAAAACTGCTTTGATTTTCTTCTACAGTGTCTTGTTTGATGTGAAAGTAAAATACCTACTAACTAGATTGGTGCATTCGGGAGGTCAGAATTTAATAATAACAATAGTTTTCAAAAACGCCGGGAAAAAAACATAAAAAAAATGCTCTGCTGTACAGTAGGTGACAAGTGAGTCACTGTATAATGGATGGTATTAAATTTGAATTCAATGATATAATATCATTGTATAAGAAAAACGATTCTGAGCGGATACGGTATGTCAGTCTAGGTATAAGACATATTATATACTTATCTATGTTATTAAAAAAAAATTACCTATAATAAATTCCAAATTAATCATATCACAATATCCATTAGGTACTTATAAGTTATAATACGTAAATTTTGTCAAAATTCGATCTTTGAATGCTTATAAAAAAAATTGTGCCAATGTATTTTTTATATTTTTCAACTGCTATTTTAACAATATAACAGGAGCCTTATATCAAATGTTTACACTTTTTGGCAAAACAGATAAAACTTTATTGATTTTCATAGAAAAAAAAAATGACATGTCCGAAAAAAGCTCAAAACAACTCAAAATATTTTGAAAATTTTATTAAGTATAAGAATTGATAAAATAAACATTCAGTGAAATTTTCATGTATCTACAGTTATTCGTTTCTGAATTACAACAAAATAAAGAAATCGCTACATGAGAAATCGAGTAAATATCCAATGTTGTAAAAATTTGAATTTCAAACGCTCATAAAAATTTAATTTGAGTTTCTTATTGACATTTTTTTTTTGATAAATGTAGATAATCTTATAAGGAGTCTATGTATTACATTTTAAAATCTTAGATTTAAAAAGAAAAATTTTTACGAATTTTAACTTAAAATAATTTGCTAATTTTCGTGATTTTTCGATTTTTTGTCAATTTTTGAACTTTAAATACTTATAAAAAAAAAATTTGATCAAAGATTTTTAATGTTTTTCAAATGCCATTGTAACAATATAGTAGGAGCCTTGTATTAAATTTGAAAGTATTTTTAATCAAAAATATAGTATTATTGACACTCATAGAAAAAAAAAATTAATAAAATTGGAAACAGAAAATGTTCCTAAACAGTTCAAAACAAATCAAAATATTTTGAAAAATTTATCTTGTATAGAAAATGGAAATATAAACAACCAGTGATAATCGCATGTGTCTACAGTAATTTGTTTTGAAGTTACACCAAAAACCAAAATCGATTTTGAGTAAAAATTCTTGTTTTTCCTTAATTTTTCTTTGGTTTTTCACTGTGCTTTTGAAAATAACTGGGAATTTTAAATTTTGACCTCCCCAATGCCACATCAATATTCACTTTCCCATCGAATAAGATACTGGAGTTGAAAATCGAAGCATTTTATCGACTACTTATCGTGTACACAGACACAAAAATAAAAAAAAATTAAAAAACTAAAAAATTAAAAACCACACATCATTGTAAAATCAATACATTTATCGTTCCACTCAGAATCTAAAAGCTTGTAAAAGAATGTCACTCTACTGTACAGTAGGTTACAAGTGGGTCACTGTATAATGGATTGTATTAAATTTGAATTCAATGATATCATTTCATTGTATACGAAAAACGGTAAGAGACGGTTTGTCAGTCTGGATATTTTATATTGTTATTATATTTTATCATAGCCTATAAGTTGAATTAATGTTATAAATTGCAACAAAATAACTAAAATTTTTATTTTTATTTTTATTCGTTTCTATGGCGATAAGCAAAATAAACAAAGCGTTAGAAATTAAAATCCCATTTTTAGTGGTTTTTTGTAATTTGTCGGTGGTTTTTCCTGTATCATTAATTAATAACTATTGAGGAAATCGAAAAATGACTTGTCAAAGTCCCATCTTTGTCCAATTTTCTAAAAGATAAGATACTTATATGTTGAAATCGAAGCACTCCTTCTTGAAGAAATTTTGTATAAAGGATAAAAAAAAAAATAAAAAAATAAACACTATTTTTAAACCACTAGATCCCTTATTGATCCGCTCAGAATCTAAAAGGAAAAATGGGAACTAGTAGTTTTTGTCTAGACCGATGTACAAACTTAATCCTAAACTCAACATTTTTTTGACATTTTATGTCTTTGCTTTGGCACATAGAATGAAAAACGTTACATTACATTTGGTTGCCATGGTAATATGGACACACATATAGACGGAAATCTCAAAATAATATATAAATGGTTGCCATGGTAATATGGACTAAATGGACATACACACAGACAGACAAACAGACATACATTCTTTCAACTGATTTTATCAATTACCCTATAAATATTACCTAGGTATGTGCTACATATGATAGCAATAGGATATCAAAGACATAAAATGTGGTACTTCATTGCAGACTCGTATGCAATATGACCTCGTCTGTTATAATAGCTTCAAAACCCATGGTAACCATGCCCACCAAAGAATACACACATTTATAACGTTTTATTTTTAGAATTTATTCAACCTATATGTTTACCCATCTTATCGCATCATAGAGCCAAATCGTTAACTAAACTTCAACTATCTTTTGCCGGATGGGGTTCCACAATGTTAAGTAAGTATCCAAATAGTATATAAATATAGAATAGGTACATTTACAGGCATTACAGCATATTAAAATATCAATGTATATTTCATAAATGTTTGTTTAATAATATTATATTTATTATTTAAAAGATCGAAGTTCTGATGCTCTTATAGAAGTTGAGTTACCAGTGTTAAGCAATTCGGAATGTAAAAAAATATATGAGTCACATAAAACTAATATCGATGATACACAATTGTGTGCTGGAATAAAAGGAAGAGACAGTTGTATGGTACTGAGAACAATTTTATAATTTATAATGTGAATTTTCAATATACCTATTTGTAATTTTGATTGTTATTTCAGGGAGATTCTGGAGGTCCCTTAATTTGGCCAAAAGGTTCTCAATATTATTTAGTGGGAGTTATGAATTTCGGACATTTATCCTGCGGTACAGACATTCCAGGTGTATATGCTAGGGTGACATCATTTCTCGAATGGATCGTAGAAAACATGAATTAGGTACAGTTAAATTGTATAATTGATTCTATTTTATATGAATTTTACTTAAGAACGAAAAAAGAATAAACAACTCTGTGCAATTGGTTTATTTATTTGTTATTACAACATATTTATAATTACTCAGATAACTACTTAATTTTAACCAGAATTGTTTTAAAAATTATATTTTGTAATAAAAAATGATACAATTTGTATTCTAATATTTTGCTTTCATAGATAATTTAGGGGTGTAGTACTGATGTGTAATTACATTATTTCAGGGGGCCCTTATAGTAAGGTCATGTTTAACCAGAACAGGCCAATTACAAAAATGACAAATATTAATTCAAAAACCTCATTCATTTCATATATTTTTATTGTTAGTAAGTATTTATTACGTGAAACGTATTAAATTTGTCTCGGAAATAATTGCAATACCATTTTAATATTATATACAATTATAAAATATAAAAGTATAGTTAAATGTTGTATTGTTGTCCATCTTAGTTAAATTATATTTTCATATTAATTATTTTCTTAAAATTGGACTACAAAATTATTTCTGCATTTGAGTATACATAATATGATAATATAATATGAAATACTTACGTATTTTAATTCGTACCTATCTACTTGTTTAAACTAATAATCTAATTGTTTTATTTTATTTAAATTTAAATATTTATGATCTTATCTATGATAGTTGATAAATGATCAATATTATGAATAAATAATGAATATTTAATAATTTAATATTAGTAATTTGATTTATTAATTGGTTATAAATAAAATTTCGTCAAATGTGATATGAGCAAAAATTAAATTTTTTAGTAGGTACCTATACTTGACTAACTAGTTAATTACAATAGCATAGGTAGCCAGGTAGGTACGTGTGACTAATATTTATCAGTTAACCCAAGAAGTAAAGGTGTAGGTAACTTCTTATATGTAGGTACGAATCGTACCTATTTCAAATGAGACGTACAAATGCAAATGTATAATTTATTTTTACAAGCAATTATCAAGTATATAGGTATCTACCTAACTATATATATATATCAGTGGCGTATTTTAAATTTGGCATGGGGGGGATATGATTTTATCCAGTACTTATCGACTCGAGAGGGCTCTGCCCCCCTCACCCCCCTAAGTTTAAATAATTAAATATAAAACTACAATTTTACTACAATTTTTTTATTTTTATTTTACAAAACAAAATCTAGTTTTCTAGATGTTTTGGATTATTCGTCTATGACTTCTTCCGCGGATAAATCAATATTTCTATGAACTGATAATAATAACAATCCTTTCAGCCGCGGTGTCTGGAAATTTTTAATTACTTATAAGTCCAAACAAAATTCTAAAAACTAAACGTCTAACGTTCTTAGTTTCTTACCTCATGGTTCATTCATTGTATTACGTAGATGCGCGTTCTAAGCCTATTTAGACTAGAAAAACTCCTCTCAGGAGTTGCAGTTGACACAGGCAATGTCACAAATATTTTTAAGAGAAGTTTAATATTTGGATTTTGGATAAATGTCTTTATCGCAGTTAAGGAACGCTTCTATCCCAGTCTTAGTTATTTCGTTACTACTGGAGGCTAGTTTTAATTTCCACATCTTCAGTTCTGCAAGAATATTGTGCCTATCAATTGCAGGAGAATATAGTTCAATTAGGTGCTGAAATTCATTTCTGTCTTCATCAGAAAATTCATCATTCAGAATATTCCCTCTCAAGGACGTGCGAGGTTGGAGGCACTGATCGCGCCAGCTACCAGCAGCTCGCGCACTCTCCTCAGTCCTCACTCATTCGACGGCGCCCGGACTATCGTCTAATTTAGATTTAAATAATAAAAAAAAAAATTACTCAACTCAAGCCTTGGGGGCTTCAAACCCAATGACCCCCCCCCCGTAAATAAGCAACTGGTATATATTATATACATTAAAGATTAAACCAAAATTGAATTAATACGATTTGGCACTCTAGTAAATTGCTTGTTTACTTTAATTCGGCACTGCTCGGAATGTGTTATAATTAATAAAATTATTATGTGATGTGCATACAATGTACTTTACCAGTTCGATTGATTTCCCTGTGATTGGTATCACTATTGGCGTATTAGTGATAAGTGATAAGTAATACAACAAAATTCTATTCATAGTCAGTGCCGCAACTAAGATTTTTGGGCCCAAGGGCAGCAGAAGTTTTAGTGCTCCAATTGTCCGTATATCGTAATACCACCCTCCTGTAATAAAATGCTTTCAACCCTACCACAATTATACTATAACCGTGATGTATCGTAGGATGAATTCTCGAATTTGTTTACATCAGTGTTCATATTAAATACCTTAACCACAGAATAGATTAAACCTATTCTGTGCTTTAACCATGGTTATAAAACACTACAGTACAATCACCAATGTCATGACTGAAACGCGGAAAAAAAGTCCCGATAAAAATTAATGAAAATATATCAAAATTGAAGTATAATTGTATAAATATGTTAAAAGTGTATTGAAAAATACATTAAAGTTACATAAAAAATCATATAATGTCATTAAAAATGTTCTTACTTAAAAAACATTCTAAAATATAATAAAATTTAATTTAATAGAAGTCTATAAAATAATAAAATGTAATACAATAGTCAATAATTAATACAATTATTGTACCTATAAAGTTATAATAATAATGCTATAAAATTGTAATATTATAATTAGGTACCTATTTTAGGTACCTCTTTCTTATGTTATAACTTACGTAATCGTGGCACTGTTCATAGTTGTTCTTACCAATCGTACAAGGTACAACCAATTTGAGTTCTTGTCGAACTACTCGGTTTAAGGTAGTCGGTGACAGTTTACTTCTATAATAAAACTACTCAGAATAATAGAAGTCACCAAAAAATTAACAGGTAATAACTCTGGAACTTTGATATTTGTGTGATGTATTAACAAATCAATATTGATGATCATTTAGCATTTAAAAAAACATTTTCACTCACAAGTGTATTTTTTAAAAATTTAAATTTACCTACTTATTTTATGGTACAAAAAAATCAAAATTAAAAAAAAATCATACAGGTATTTAAAATATTCTCATATAAGTTACTCGAACGAGCTTTTAAATTCTGAGAGGAGCGATGAATGTATTGATGATGTTTGTTTTTTTATCAGTGAATCTAGTTGATACTTTGGGTTTCAAGAGTAAAAGCGCCTCGAAAAAAAAAAAATATAAGGATAAACAGGAATTTTTACGCAAAATTGGTTTTTGACTAAATCGATTTTAGTTTTTGGTGTAAGTCCAAAAAAAATTACTGTTGATAGATACATGAGATTTTCACTGAATGTTTGTATTAACATTTTCAATACACGATAAAAATTTTGATTTGGTTTGAACTGTTATGGACATTTTTAGTTTTCAAATTTTCAAGTTTTTTTATCTTGAATGTCAATACAATTTTTTTTAGTCTAAAAAGCGTGTAATTGTAATTCAAAGCTCCTAATATATTGTCAAAGTTACAGTTGAAAAATATTAAAAATACATAGTCACAATTTTTTTTATACGCATTTAAAGTTCGAATTTTCACAATATCTATCAAATTAAAAATTGAAAAATGATTTTGTAGTTAAAAATTTATAAAATGTTCAACTTTAATAGCTAATAATGATTGAAAATTTAAAACAAGGTTCCACGTTATTAGTTAAATAAATTACTTTATTCACAATAATATCATAAAATATACTTGGTAATATATCATAAGTTACCGTCTTCGCTCAGAATCGTTTTTCGTATACAATATTATAATATTATTGAATTCAAAAATCACGAAAATCTTCACATTATTTTGAGTTACATATTTATAAAAAAAATCTAAGATTTGAAAATTTAGTACAAGATTCCTCTCAAGTTTGTCTACTTTTATAAAAAAAAATCTCTACCGGAAAGTCAAATTACAATTTTGTGAAGTTCAAACTTCTACAACATTGGATATTTGGATATTCACACATACGTGATATTCACTCCATTTCTCATTTGGCGATTTTTATAGTTTGTTGTTATTCAAAAACGAATAACTGTAGATAGGTAATCCAAATTCACACCATAATATTATGTTTATTTTATCAATTTTTAGACTTGATAAAACTTTCAAAATATTTATTATATTTAATTTCAGTTAGAAATGCATAAAAGTTTTTCTTTTCATAGGTAAAATTGGACTGTTTTTGAGCTATTTATAGGCATACGACAATTTTTATTTTTATTACTTTTTTAAAATTATTGTCGATAACATTTGTTAATTCTTTTGTTGGTTAAATTTTTTTTACTGGATTTTATAACTGGGCCTAACCCATTAAAACTTTGGGACTGCTTAGCCATATCACCCATGACGTTTGTCCTGGTACCAACTACCAGTTTCCTTTTTTTAGTTTGATTTGTTGGAAAACGGGCAAGCTAATGGTATACTATTAATTGCCTATCTACAACGCCGTGTGATTAAAATGCAATCGTAAATTATTACTTATGTTATTGATTGTAAATAATATTCCGTTGTACAACACTAAAGACAACTCAGTACGATGAATAATTATTCAAAAATTAGTAATATTGTATGTTATTATATGTATAGCTATATTAATAAATAATGTTTGGATTGTTTATTATCCTTAACACAATCATAGTATTCGAAATGCGGTTTCAGGTTTGTAACACTTCATGAAGAAATGTCTTTTTTCATTACGTTCAATGAACGTCGTTCATGTGTTTGGATATTATGATGTATGAGTATGATGTATTACAATAATTTTATCTACCTATGGTAGTATGACACTGTAAAATTGCTTTCGTTGTTGGCTACAAACGAGTTGTTTCCCAAGTTCCGTATAAGTTGTGTCCGGTAAATTTTCTTGGGTTAAACGATTTGTGTTCTGTCACGTTTGGTTACACTCTAATTTTCCAAAGCTAGAATAATAACAGATTTCGTAACAGTTATTATTGGTAGATACTATAGCAATATTATT